GGGCTTTGGTTCCGACGCGGCCACTGTCATTCATGAGGCGAGAGAACTTCATCAGAAAACCTCGTTTCACTTCAAGACTGCCCTTGTAAGGCTCATGTGCTTGAGTGTGGCGAATGAAAGCCTGCTGGAGATGGAGGATACGGTCACAACGCTGCAGGAAAAGGTTCAGAAAGCCAAGAATATTGATCACGTTCTTATGCACGAGGCTCACCTGAGAGAACTCTTACCCACACAAAAAATTACAAACTTGTTGAGTGAAACAAATATATCCGAGACTCGCGTTCCTGTAAGCACCACCAGGGAACGCCTGAACGTGTCGCCAATGCCTGCTACTGCTTCTGGCATGCACGACTCGGACAGCGATACTTCGAATCGAAGCGGGTGCTCTACGCCTTCCACCATCGCAAACATGAGTCTGCGGGAGTCGTTTGTGGCCAGTGGATTCATGGAGCAGTCCCAGCCGAGAACCGGCGGAGGAACCGGTCTCGGGGGGTTAAGCTGCCGGGTTCACATGGGAGACGGCCGTCACGCCCACCTGGCGTGGCAGGACGACCATCTCTTGCTTTATGCTCTCGCTGCCGCTGGTCCGGATCCTCAGGTGTTAATACAGGTAACATAGCATTCATATACATTGTGCATTGTCACTCTTTTGGATACCGAGCTTCCAGACTACATATATTTTTCGTCCTTGCTATTTATAGCGCAAGCTACCATTCATGTCTGATATTAAAGTACTAAAAAATAACATGGCTTGTGCAATGATATAATCAAATAACCTGCAGGTGAATATGTACAAAACTGAACCTTTCAGCAGGAAGCTCGACAATTGTGTGAGCCAAACCTTGATGATTTCAACATGAATTACCCTATGTAAATTTCCTGAATCAATCATAAATATTTGAAACGCGTTTCAGTTCTCGGCGCTCGAGGGCCTCCTGGAGAGCGATCGCCCCGTGGTATTCCTTGAGCTCTCGGCCGGCGGACTCCACCTGGGCCGCGTGTACATCCGG